TGCCTTAACCACTGAGCTCTATCCCTAGGCATGCCTTAATTTTTATATTGAGACAGGGCCTTACCAAGTTGCTAAGGCTTGGCGTTGATCCTCCTGTCTCAGTCTCCTCAGTTGCTGGAATTATAGGTGTGTGCTATCATGCCTGGTTTAAAGCTATATAAATTTAAAGGCAATTTAAAATATTTTATCGTGAACTGGGGTTGTGGCTCAGTGGTAGAGTGCTTGCCTAGCATGTGTGAGGCACTGGGTTCGATCCTCAGCACCACATAAAAATAAATAAAATATTGTGTCCATCTACATCTAAAAAATCTATATATTTATTTATTTTGTCATTCACTTTGAGACAGAAATTTCAGGTTTTCTATTTACTGTTTTTCTTTGAGTGAACTGTATAGCATGAATCATCACGTCAAATCATGCCCATTGATGGGGATACCACTTTACAAGTGATTGAATAATATTGCTATTAGATCAATTTGAATGAATGGAATGCCATTATAATTAATGTTAATCCTTTTCTGACAGTATATAGTAAAAACTCAGTATATGCTATATAAATTAAGGGAGAGTTGAGAATTTTGAGGTATTTATGAATGAATATTTTAGAAGCATTAATATTTTTTAAAGCATTTTAAATATAATATCAGTATCAAATTAACTCAGGCAACTTTTTTCCATGACAGTAGAAACCTCACTAAAAATTATTTCAAAAATCAATTGTTTTCCTGGCAAAGGCATATCTAGTTTGTATGTCATGAATGCATATTGCAAGTAAGGACATAGCCTGGGTCAATTTGCCAGAGAGATGGTGAATTGCATCACAACTTCTTCCTTCTTCCCATCTCCCATATCCAGTCTTCCATTATCTTCTTTTCAGATCTGTGCTCTTTCCATGCATCTGCTGCTATTCAAGGCAGGTTGCTGTTATACCTTACCTGAATTGCTGTATCAAATTTCCAAACTAGAGTTTTCTCCTCTAGTCCATCTCTCTTCCATCTATAATCAGAATGATTCCAGTTTCCTTCTTCCTTAAAACCATATACATTATTAACTGTGTAACAAAGTCCAAATTATTTTGCACGACCTGCAAGACCTTCATGATTGGAATTGTATTGAAATCTACAGATCAATAAGGGAATAATACCAACCTTACAATGTTGACTCTTCACTAATAGAGTATATCTATTTGATCATGTCTAATTTCACTCATTATTGTGATTTTTGGTATAGAAGTCTTTGACATCTTGGGCTGGGGTTGTGGCTCAGTGATAGAGCATTTGCCTCGCACATGTAAGGCACCGAGTTTGATCCTTAGCACCACATTAAAAAAAAAAAAAAAGATAAACAGAATAAAGATATTTAAAAAAGAAGTCTGACATCTTTTGGTAGAATTATTTCTAGGTATTTAGGCATTAGGAAGTGGTACTACTATAAGTAAATTTTTGATTTTAATATTCCAGTATTTTACTATTTGCATATAGAGAATTGATTTTTCAATATTGATTATTTCCTGGGCTGGAGATGGGGCTCAAGTGGTAACACACTCGCCTGGCAAGCGTGGGGCTCTGGGTTCAATCCTCAGCACCACATAAAAATAAAATAAAGATGTTGTGTCCACTGAAAACTAAAAAATAAATATTAAAAAATTCTCTCTTTAAAAAAATATTATTTCATGCAACTTTGCAAAATTCAACTACAAGTTCTTTTTTCCCCACATTTTTAAATTGGTGCATCATAATTGTACATACTGATGGAGTTTGTTGTTCAAATATCTGTGCATGTACACAGTACACAATGTTGTTATAATTTGGCCAGTATCACTCATTCCTCCAACTACAAGTTCTAACGGTTGCTTTGTGAATTCTCTTGGGTTTCTACCTAAACTACCTTATCTTCACGAATAGGAACAGTTTTATTTCTTCTAATTTTTCTTCTTCTCCTCCCTCTCCTCTCTTCCTCTCCTCTCCATCCCTTTCCCCTCCCCTCTCTCCTGTTGTTATTTCAGTGGCTAGGACTACTAATACAATGTCGAATAGAAGTGTTACAGAAGAACATTTTTTACTTATTCCTAATCTTAGAAATAATTCAGTCTTATATATAAGTATAATATTAGTTGTGCATTTCTCATAGGTGCCCATTTATCTATTTGGGATGTTGCCCTATTGTTACAGTTTGCTAAGTGTTGCTGTTGTTGTGTTTTTCTTTTCTTTCTTTAATTTGGGAGGGGAGTAAGGGGGTTGAACTCAGTGTCATTCAACCACTGAGCCACATCCCCAGCCCTATTTTGAGTTTTATTTAGAGACATAGTCTCATTAAGTTGCTTAGCACCTTGTTATTTCTGAGGCTGCCTTTGAACTCAAGATCCTCCTGCATCAGCCTCCCCAGCAGCTGGGATTACAGGTTACAGGTGTGTCTGTTTCTGTCATAAATGAATATTGAGTTTTCTTTTATCTTTTGAAATGACCTTGTAGTTTTCCTCCCATGGATGGTTAACACATTGAATTACAGTGATTTTTGAACATTCAGCCTTGTATTCTTGGGGTAAGTTTTATGTGGTCACAATGTATTACCTATCCTGTACACAATGGAATCTCAGCCATAAAGAAGTATAAAATTATGGTATTTGCCAGTAAATGATGAAATTAGATACTGTCATGCTAAATGAAATAAGCCAATCCCAAAAAACTAAAGTCCAGATGTTCTCTCTGATATGTGGAGCTAACTCACAATGGGAGAGGGGGAGATGGAGATTCACTGGATCAGACGGGGGAGTGAGAGAAAGGGAGGGTGGATGGGAATGGGAAAGACAGTAGAATGAACTGGACATAACTTTCCTATGTTCTTATATTAATATATGACCAGTATAACTCCATATCATGTATAAACACAAAAAATAGGAAGCTATACCCCATTTATGTATGACATGTCCAAATCATTCTATTGTCATGTAAAACTAAAAAGAACAAATAAAAGAAAAACAATGTATTACCTATATGTACCTTGTTGGGTTCAGTTTGGTTTTTTTGTGGTGCTGAGGATTGAACCCATGGCATCGTGCATGCGAGGCAAACACTCTACCAACTGAGCTATATCTCCAGCCCCTACATCAATATTCTTTATGAATGTTTTCTTTATTGTAAAGGCTTTGTCACAATTTTGGTATAAGGATTATGTTGCTCTCAAACAGGTTGAGTGCTCCCTCTTCCTCTCTTTTGAAAATACTTGCATTATTTTTTATTGTTTCCTCCTGAATTAACAGAATTAACCATGAAACCATTTGAGCTTTCTTTTAGAAAAGTTTTGTTTTGATTTGTTTTGTTCTGTTGTCATCAGTTTCTGTTGTAGAAACTTTGTCATCCATCAGCAATTGAGATCTAATAGTATTAAAACAAACCCTTTGAAAAGTTCAGAACCTTGTAAGGAGTAACACTTTTAAGGACTGTTGTACAGATTGTGGGAACTGAATTCAGGTAGAAGCCAACCAGGCATTCACTGTTACATGGCTCCAAACTAGCTTTGTCAGGTTTTGGAAAACTGATATAATACTTTTATACCTGAACCTTTTTTTGTTCCTGTAAAGCAGTTTTTTTCCAAACTGTTAAATATTTTAGCTGAGTATGGTGGTTCACTCCTGTAATCACAGCAGCTTGGGAGACTGAGGCAGGAGGATGGCAAGTTCAAAGCCAGCCTCAGCAAAAGCAAGGTGCTGGGCAATTCAGTGAGACCCTGTCTCTTAAAAAAAAAATCAAAATAGGGCCGGGATGTGGCTCAGTGGTTGAGTGCCCTGAGTTCAATCCCCAGCACCACAGATAGATTGATAATTTCATAAAGATCCTTGTGCCTCCCTGCCCAGCTTTCCAGGATCTCCTTCTTGACAGAGCCCTGTTAACCTTTCAGAGTGTTTGTAGACTCCATATACCCCTTTCACTTTCCTGCCCATCATGTTATCCTCACTGTTCTCACCCAGCCGAGGACCCATATAAGTGATCCCAAGTCCTGCCAAATAAGAAATGCCTTATTTCTATTTGGTAATTGCTTATCCTTGGGCCCATGGGACCCTTGGATGGTGGAACACTTCAGACATGCCTTTTACCTCTGTGTAATGAATTGGAATATTTCAGAAATTTCAGATAGCCAAGACTGGTAGAATCCTGCTTCTACCAGTGGCTGACCCTGATCTGGCTATCCTTGCTGATGGTCTACAGCCTGCCCTGTCAGAGAGTCTTCTCTTGCTGATTAAGTTTAATTCCTTATTCTCTACTTGAATGTCAGTTCCCTTGTTTTCTGGTACCCAGCAGAGCATAGATGCCCTCTCTCTGACATCTATCCTAGAATGGATTCAAACTACCTTTTTGGCTCTGCTTTTAGTAATGAAGTTTCTAGAGGGTAGCAGTGGAAGGGTATCTTCTTGGTTAATACACGTAATACACATTTCAGTATTAAGGGGCTAACTAAACCTCTCTGTCACTTTGGAAAGGAAATGTACCATAAAGAAGCTTCTCTCTTTTTTTAATTGCTTAATTAGTTCTTCTTTGTTTCCCTCTTTTGCTTTTTTCTTTTGTGTAGCCATTATTATAGCTCTAAAGGAAACTGGCAAAATTTGTCTCCATAAGTCATTGTTTTTACTTTTTTCCATATTTCTTTCCAGTTGCTGCCCCAAAGCAGTGATACTAACTAGGTACAGTTTCAAAGTGCTTTGTTTGTTATGTTGGTTTTGTACTGGGGATTTAACCTAGGAACTTTACCACTGAGCTACATTTCTAGCCCTTTTTATTTTTTATTTTGAGACAGGGTCTCACTAAGTAGCTAAGGCTGATCTTGGACTTGCAATCCTCCTGTCCCAGACTCCTGAGTTGCTGGAGTTATAGGCATATGGCACCGTGCCCAACTCTGAAGTGCATTTCTTTTTTTTATGACGGATGATCATAGTTGGAAGAAATTAATTGAGATATGGGAATGTCGGATAATAATGGTTTCTTATTTTGATTATTTCCTTTTAGGAAAGACACTGCTGATCCTGTAACATGGAGGATTGTCTTCATACCTCATCTGAGAATCTGTCCAAATTGGTCAGCTGGGCCCATAGCCATGGGACCATTTGCAGCCTCATTCCAAACCTAAAACACTTGCTTTCTGAAGGTTCCCATGGGAACCTGACCGCAATGTGGGGCTGTAGTGCTGGCCATGCTTATCATTGGCCACTAACAGCTACTTGTAGAGCTGGGTCCCAAGAAAGGGTCTGTTTCCAGGACAACAGAAGTTTTAACTCTGATAGTCCCAGTATAATTGGGGTGCCTTCTGAGACACAAACTAGCCCTGTTGAAAGGTACCCTGGGAGACCAGTGAAAGCAAAGCTAGACTGTAACCGGACCAGAGACTCTTGTGACTTCTCTTATTGCAGTGAGCCCTCTGAACTGGATGAAGCTGTTGAAGAGTATGAGGATGAAAACACCCTGTTTGACATGGTTTGTGAGTCTTCTGTTACAGATGAGGATAGTGACTTTGAACCCCAACCCCAAAGACCTCAAAGCATTGCTCGCAAAAGGCCAGGAATAGTTCCGTCTTCCCTCCATTCAAGTTCCCAGACACAGATGGTTGATGAATGCAGCAATGACGTCATCATCAAGAAAATCAAACAAGAAATTCCAGAAGATTATTACATTGTGGCAAATGCAGAGCTGACTGGAGGGGTAGATGGACCAGCCCTGTCCTTGACTCAGATGGCAAAACCCAAGTCTCAGACTCATGCTGGTCCCTCCTGTGTGGGGTCTGCTAAGTTGATTTCCCATGTAACATCTGCCATTAACACGGAGCTAGACCCACATGGTATGTCTGCATCTCCTTCTGTGATCTCCAGACCAGTTGTCCCAAAGACTGCTAGGGTATCTCTGGCTTCACCAAACAGAGGACCCACTGGTACCCATGGCACCAGCCAGCAGGTGGCCATGCAGATGCCTGTGAGTACATCCCATCCTAACAAACAGATCAGTATCCCTTTGTCTGCCCTGCAGCTGCCTGGACAGGATGATCAAGTTGCTTCTGAAGAATTCCTGTCTCATCTGCCCAGCCAGGTCTCATCCTGTGAGGTAGCCCTCTCTCCCTCAGTTAACCCAGAGCCAGAAGTGAGCTCCAGTCAGCAGCAGCCTCCAGTTGCTCCAACTATAACCACTGAGGCCACAGCGCAGTGCATACCAGGTATGGCACATGAGTCGATAGTGAGTCCCTCATCTATGTGCATCAGAGAATTCTGCGCCGTCAGCACTTCCAAGACTATTGCTTCAGTCCTTTTCATTCTCAGAAAGCTAGAAATAATGAAATACATTTCATCCAGGTGATAATATGCAGGAAGTTCATCTGAATTGAGGCCATTCATCCAGTTAATATACCTCAGGGCTGAGAGGACAGTTTTGAGAATGTGCTATTGATTCTGTGTGACTAGATTTAAGATTGATATCTGACCTTAACCTGAATTTTTTTGAAGTTGGTTTTAAAAGTTTTTTTAAAATGCTCTCCTCTCAGTATCAAGGTATTTAGTTGCTGTTTCAGGTTACATGATGTTGATAAGGCATATGATGAAAATACATCCAGCCATTAGAACCAGCTTTATCTGAACCAACTTCACAATTGGTAATCATTTTAGTGGATGTGATAGCTTGAAATATATTTTTTTTTTTACAGCAACAGACATTTCTAAAAGAAGTATTAGATCTTTTTCTCAAAATTTAAAAGAATCAGATAATATATTTTTGCAATATATGAGCCTAACTGTAATGAATTGAGAGGAGAGTAGAATGATATTAGAACTCTACACCTGTAGTTCTAATGTTCTTTTTTTTTTAATATTTATTTTTTAGTTGTAGTTGGACACAGTACCTCTATTTTATTTGTTTATTTTTATGTGGTTCTGAGGATCGGATCAAGGGCCTCGCGTGTGGAAGGCAAGCACTCTACTGCTGAGCCACAACCCCAGCCCTAATATTCTTTAGTTCTAACATTCATTATTTATTTAACAGTAAATATTGTTATTTATTTATATAACAAAGGGGTTTGAGTTCATGATTTAAATCTAATAGGCCAGAAATTAAAACATGAACAAGAATGAATAGACATGCAAAGAATATGGAAAGCAGAGATCTGTGGTCATTTTGATCTCTTTTAATCCTCAAAATAGTCATATATTTTGGGAAAAGCTTCCTAGAAGCCTAAGGCACCAGTCCCTTTGGCCCGAAACTTCCCCAAATTACGTTTCTTTTACAAACACACTTTTCCAATTTCAGTGTCAACATTAAGATCCCCAAAAGGAAGTTTACATTTATTACTTTTCTAGCATAGTCATGATGTTATTAATAAATTATATTCTGAAAATATTCATAGCCTTATTAAAAAACTATGCCTTTTCAGTTTATTCGTTTTTCTTTCTTTTTTAAAATAACAGCTTTATTGAGATATAATTCATATACTTTAACATTCACTTTTAAAAAGTGTACAGTTCAAATCGAGAGTAGTGGTACATACTTGTAATCCCAGCAATTTAGGAGGCTGAAGCAAGAGGATCACAATTTATAGCCAGCCTTGGCATTTTAGCAAGATCCTATATCAAAAATTTTAAAAAGGGCTGGGGTGTAACTAGAATGCTCCTGGTGTAGCCATCACCATTATATAATTTCAGAACATTTTTATCACCTCAGAAAGAAACCTCTTGCTTACCAGTATAACTCGTTCCTCCCTCCAGTTCTTGGCAACCAGCTTTTTATCTAATGAATTTACTTATTCTGCAGATGTCATATATAAGTGGAATCCCATATTATATAACTTTTTGTGATTACCTTCTTGCTTTTAACATAATATTTTCCAGTTTGATCCCTGTTGTGGCATTTCTTTTCTTTTTATTGCTAGATAGTATTTCATTGTACAATATGCCGTATTTATTTCATTGTACAAATATGCCATTTCTTTTTATCAGCTGATGGACATTTGGGTTGTTTCAGTCTATTGTTATTATATTGCTACTATGAACATTTATATACAAAAAATTTTTGTGTGGGTATATGTTTTTATCCTGTTTGGGAAACTACCTAGGAGTAGAATTATTGGATCCTGTGGCAACTCTGTTTTAACTTATTAAGGAACTGCTAAACCATTTTCAAAATAGCTCCACCATTTTAGTCTCACCAGTAATGCACAAAGGTTACTATTTCTCCACATTATCACTAACATTTAATATTTTCCATGTTTAAAACAATTAGAGCTATAGAGTTGGGTATGTGAAATAGGGTATCGTTATGGTTTTGATTTGTGTTGTTCTGTTGAGCATTTTTTGTGTGTACTGCTTGGGCCGTTTATAGATCTTTTTTAGGGAAATGTCTGTTTAGATCTTTTGCCCATTTTTAAATTAGGTCATCTATTTACTGGTGAGTTATAAAAGTTCTTTATGTATTCTGGATGTAAGTCCCTTATCAGATACATGATTTGCAACTATTTTCTCTCATTCTATGGGTTGTCTTTTTCTTTCTTTTAAAATATTTTTACTTTAATCATTGAATAATACTGTGTATTGGCTATTCTTAATATACTAAATGCATTGTCTTTATTAGATTGGGTAACATCTTTGTACTAGGAAATCTACTCTTTATCCATGTAGTACTTTTGTGAATCTGGTTTGTTTGTCAGCCCCACCCCCACCCCTGCCTTTTTTTAAATATAAGTTGAAGACATAGCCTGGCCAAGTTTTCTACATTCTCAATTTACATTTGAGGATATAATTCTCAAATGTGACTTACAAAAGTGGTATACTCAAGCAGTTCAATAAGACTGTTACTTGTGTCACACACCCTTTCACTAACTTACCTTGCAAAGCCAAATGCATGACACAGAACTCTAAACCACTTCTTGTATAATGATTCGAAAAAGAAATTCAGCCTATTCGCAAAAGAAGTAATTTTAAAAATCCTTGTATTATTGTGTGTTTTACATTCTTATGGACTTTTGGGGGCTTCTTATAATAGCTTAAAAAGTAGATATGACCAAGGATAGCACATAACATATGCAGTCATGAACTGTGATTTGACTTCATTCTAACAAGGAGGATTGGTTTGCCTTGGAGTTGAACCCTCAAGAACTTTGTAAGGAACTAGTAATGGAATTTTCTAAGGAATCATTCTCATTTTTTGATCCATTGTTCTGTGGAAAGATTTATTGCCAACATATCATTAGCTTTAGAAAAATACTACTTGGATTGGAAAGAGCAATGAGACAAATAAAAACCTGATTGACATTTTTCTTTTTTGAGAGATATTTAAAATTAATGTATAATTTCCCTTGATTTCCTAGAGCACAAGCTAGGTTCTGTGTTCTAAAGTTTAATTTATTTATTTGCATTTGTATTCTTATAATCTCCATTGTAAGTAGAGATTTAGAAAAAAACAATTCAGCATGCCCAAATGTATGTGATTGCCTTGATGAATGGACCTTCCACAGTTGATGTATAAAGCACACTTGAGACTAAACAAACAAACAAACAAAGATTCTGAAAGAACTTGCTGAAAGCTGATCAGGCTCTTTTAAAACGGATGGCAGAATCTCGAGTCTTTAGCAGATCCTTGCATAAATATTGCACATCTTTAAATGATTTTTTTTTTTTTTTTTTGGTGGTGGGTTTCCAGGGATTGAATTCGGGGCACTCAACTACCGAGCCACATCCCCAGCCCTTTTTAAAATTTTATTTACAGGCAAGGTCTCATTGAGTTGCTTAGCGCCTTGCTGTTGTTGAGGCTGGCTTTGACCTCTTGATCCTCCTGTCTCAGCCTCCTCAGCCACTGGGATTACACGCATGTGCCACTGCACCTGGCTTTAAAAGATATTTTTAAAATAAATAATTTGACAAATGACCTGAGTGAGACAGAATAAAGAGAAATTGATCCATTTTGCTTAATTGTGCTAATGCCACTTAAAGTTTTTCCCTAGTGAAAAATCATCCTTATTTATGTTTATAACTGAGTTTGTAAAGTTATAAAATGTTAAACAAGGTGTGAATAAAATAATGACTTTTCACTTTATCTCTGCCATACTGCTCAATCTTAAGTTTCTAGCAACTTATAAAGAGGATGTGCATGTATTGTCGGTCACCATGGAGCATACCTGTAATCCCTGTTACTAAGGAAACTGAGGCAGGAGGATCACAAGTTTGAGGCCAGTCTCAGTAATTTAGTGAGGTCCCAAGCAATTTATCAAGACCTTGTTTCAAAACAAAAAATAAAGAAAAAAAAAAAAGAACAAGGAATTATGCCCAGTGGTAAATGGCCCTTAAGTTCAGTTTCTGGTAACAAAAAAAAAAAAAAAGAGGATATGTGATTAGAAGAATTATTCACCATTTTTCATTAACTTTTGAGTTTTTATATACATTGGGGTATTTAAAAATTTGAATCCTTATTGCATCATGAGTTAGGTTTTTCTGCATATATATGTGTAATTCTTACATACTCATATATATGTATATATAGCCTCCTTTAAGATTTTGTGCAAAGGATCCCTTTTATTAACCATCTCTTCCCAGAAATTTTATGATAGCAAGCAATCAATTTTTGCTCTTCAGATTTGTAATATATATTTCCTCTTCTGAATATACATTTTTTAATCTTTTAATAGATTCATATGTGTTCTTGATACACAGTCATATGTCACAATGCTAGGGATACATTCTGAGAAATGCATATTGTACACCTAGGCTGTGTGGTAGAGCCTGCTGCTGCTCCTGGGCTACAGACCTGGCTAGCATGCTTATACATTGAATACTGTAGGCAACTGTGACGCAATAGGAAACATTTGGGTATGTAAGCATAGTTAAACAAAGAAAAAGTACAGTAAAAATAGAATATGAAAGATAAAGAATGGTACAGTCTGTATGGGGCACTTACCATGAGTGGACCTTGCAGGATTAGAAGTTGCCGCATTTGAGTCAGTGAGTGGTTAGTGGTGAGTGGATATGAAGGCCTGGGAATTATCTTGCATTGTTTGTACACTATAAATACTATGCTTAGGCAACACTAAATTTATTTTTTTAATCTTCCTTCAATAATAAATTAACCTTAGCCTGGTGTAACATTTTTTTATTCCATATTTTTTTAACTTTGATTCTTTTGTAATAAAACTTAGTTTAAAAGGCAAATACTTTGTACCACTGTACAAATATATTGTCT